TGTGACCATATATGGTCATATATGTTTCTGCTGTGACCATATATGACCATATATGGTCACAGTAGGAACCATATATGGTCACAGCAGGAACCATATATGGTCACAGCAGAAACATATATGACCATATATAGTCAGAGCAGGTATATGCTCATATACGGTTCCTGCTGTGACCATATATGGTCATATATGTTTCTGCTGTTACCATATATGGTCATATATGTTTCTGCTGTGACCATATATGGTCATATATGTTTCTGCTGTGACCATATATGGTCATATGCGTTTCTGCTGTGACCATATATGGTCATATATGTTTCTGCTGTGACCATATATGGTCATATATGTTTCTGCTGTGACCATATATGGTCATATATGTTTCCTCTGTGACCATATATGGTCATATATGTTTCTGCTGTGACTATATATGGTCATATATGTTTCTGCTTTGACCATATATGGTCATATATGTTCCTGCTGTGACCATATATGGTCATATATGTTCCTGCTGTGACCATATATGGTCATATATGTTCCTGCTCTGACCATGTATGGTCATATATGGTTCCTGCTGTGACCATATATGGTCATTTTTGTTTCTGCTGTGACTATATATGGTCATATATGTTTCTGCTGTGACCATATATGGTCATATATGGTTCTTGATGTGACCATGTATGGTCATATATGTTCAGGCTGTGACCATATATGGTCATATATGTTCCTGCTGTTACCATATATGGTCATATATGTTTCTGCTGTGACCATATACGGTCATATATGTTTCTGCTTTGACCATATATGGTCATATATGGTTCCTGCTGTGACCATATATGGTTCCTGATGTGACCATATATGGTCATATATGTTCCTGCTGTGACCATATATGGTCATATATGTTTCCTGCTGTGACCATATATGGTTCCTGATGTGACCATATATGGTCATATATGTTCCTGCTGTGACCATATGTGGTCATATATGTTTCCTGCTGTGACCATATATGGTCATATATGTTTCCTGGTGTGACCATATATGGTCATATATGTTTCTGCTCTGACCATATATAGTCATATATGGGGAAATGTTGGATCATAAGGTTCCTTAAGTTGTTTTTGTCCCTTCTCATAGACAATCCTGTTATTCCGTTATTAGATCAAAGTGGTGTTCAGATAAACTAAACCACTAGAATCTCCTCACTTCCCTCTCTCCTCCCAGAAATGAGTTTTGGGCTTATTGTTCTGACACCAAACTCCCGAGTAGCTCAAACCCAGCTCTTCCTCAGAGAAAGAAACCGGCCACCATAACTGTCACCCTGTATTAATTATCCCGGTTTACTTCGGTCTTTTACTCCGGATCGTGTTCCCCGGTCTGTGATGAATCATCCCTCCCTGGGGGGCGTGGCCATCTCTCCCTGGGGGGCGTGGCCATCTGTCCCTGGGGGGCGTGGCCATCTCTCCCTGGGGGGCGTGGCCATCTCT